CTTCCGCTAGCGACGTCACTTGCAGTCTTTTTTTTTTTTATTTTGTTCTATTTATTGATTACTTTTTGTTTTAATCTCTCAACATTTTACAACAGTAGCCAGGTGGTGAAGACAAGAAAAAAGAAACTAAATTACAATGCCACTTGCAAACGCCACTTGCACTTTCCGCTACCTGCGACGTCACTTGCAGTCCACACAAATGGTGCGTGTTGCCAATGGAGACAAGACGCTGTGGTGGTGATTAAACGATTAAAACTAATTTAGTACTATAACATACAGGGTCCTGCAAGAAAAAGACAAGACCCGCAAATCCGTCGCCACAGAACAGCAGAATATGAACGCAATGCACAAAGTCTCTCGTTAAGCATTTTCCTCCTGTAGAAAAACATAAACACTTAGCATGGCGTAATGTATTCTTCTTGCATTTTCGCTTTCAGTGTGGACAGACAAATGAAAGAAATTGCTAGAAATTGCCATTTCATGCACTCTTAGGACACTTAAAGTCAGTAGAGGAATAGCACCTTTTACACACACTCTCACACACACACACACACACACACACACACACACGCACATACACACACACACAGGCTCAACAGCAAGGCTTTTTCTTTAATTTCAGTGGCATTTTTTATGAATTTAAATTAATTTAAATACATTTATATTTTTACATGTTATAATTACTTACCTTTAGAATGTTACTTTTCTCATTTAGTTTAACTGTGCATGCATTATTATTTAATATTATTTATTGTATTACAAGCATTATTATTATTTAAATATATTTTTAATTACTTGTTTTACAATATTGCACAATTTACCATTTTTCCTTTATATAAAAAACATGCAATGATACCTAGAAATTACATGTATTTTAATTATACAGACAACTCCAAACTAGCCATAAATTCATAAACATTTTTGCTGGTAATTGCTGGAATTGACTGGTTTGATATTTTTAACAATAAATTAATAATTTTTTGTGTACATGATCATTAAAGGAAATACAGTGACAAAACCTATAACACAATAATTTTGCTAGGCCCAAACTCTCACACTGAAGCACGAAACAGCTCTGCAAACACAATAATCTTATAGTGGTGCCGTAGCAGAGTGAGTGCTAAATTGCAGGATCAGTTCAGAATCATGAAAGCTTGTAATCATTGAGAGGATATCCCTTCTGCATGCACACACACACACACACTTACTTACTATACACGTCATCTCTTTACATACATGCAGACTCTATAGATCAGAAGTCAATACTGCAAGTAAAGGCTGTCACATATATCTAAGACTAGTCCATGAAGGCATAATTTACTGATCCTAAAGGAAGTGCATTAGTGAATGAGAGCTGTTTACAATCATCTATGATCATATATGTGCGTGTGTGTGTGTGTGTGTGTTTTCAGTCAGATTAGATGAGGTTTCACAACCCTTCCTGCTGTTCATTCATCATGCTGTCAGTCTGCAGGGACACCACACACATCCTTATTAGCTAACACCCATACAACCAGATCTCTCTCTCTCTGTCAGTCATATCTCTATTTGCTTCTGTCTGGAAAATTAGTGCAAATAACAAGATCAAAGTCCAATTACAAAATAGAAACTGGAAGTGTATGACTGTACAACGGCACTTAGGGTCCAAAATGAACACTTGCCAAGTACCAAATGTGTGGTAAAAAAAAAAAAAAAACTTTCACTGGTTTAAATGAATCAGGGCAAACAGTCAACAGAAAAAACAATCTGTGCACTACGAGCACAGCCAGAGAGATCCATGTGACGGACACGTCATCACGCTCACACACACACACTCTCTGAGCATGTCTGTGTCCATCTTGAGTTTGTGATGACAGATGACACACTGCGTTGAGGCAAAATGCACAGATTCATATCTTAATAAGACACAAACATACTGACAGCCTAGAGCCCCCAATAACACACACACACACACACACACACACATACGAATACACAAACACTTGAATAATCAGCCACATTATTACATAATAAACTATTATTTAATATAGAGTTAAAAAACACAGTTTGAATGGAAAACAGAATATTGCTCGAAAGCTTCACCAAATGGCTGTTGTTGAGTTGCACTAAGCAATGCTGCAGGACCAAGAAAATCAGGCGGAAAGCAAAAGGTACTAAGAGTCATTTGAAGTGCGTAAAAGTAGATAAAGAGAGACAATGGGACAGAGAGAGGTGAGTCATATGATGAATGCGGCTGCTTCAGTCCTCATCTAGAACACAAATATCACATCAGACTCATTTGCCTGTGAAACACTCACACAAACGCAAGGCCACAGTGAGCCCATCACTGAGGAGATCAGATTTCTGCCAACACAGAGTGATACACCGTGTCTTAAAAAAGTGCTAGCCGATTTGACCAACAGCCAACATATGCATGTGATGTTTAACATAAAGCTATGAGTGACCAATGAGATTTTGGAGGGCGGGGGTCCTAAGCAAAATGTAGCCCAAAAATGAAAAATTGTTAAAAAATTATCCAAGATGTAGATGAGTTTGTTTCTTTATCGGAATGTAGCGTCTGGACCAATCAGACACACCATTTTTCATTTGATTTAACAAATCAATTATTCATTAGATTAACAAACGTTCACAGACCCCTCACCCAATAAACACACTGGGTGCCAAGTTGTCTGTGAACAAGGCCCAGGACCCTGGTTACCATGGCAACCCTGACACCAGATACATTTACGACCTAATGGAATGCGAAGCAGGGAAAATCACTGCATGTTCCATAGGAAGAGACACAATACACAGTAGAAATTGACTTTTCTCTAATTAATCCATAGGAAAACCTTTCTTTGAATGAACACACATATCCTTCAGGTCATTGTGTATATTATTGCTGTCTTGTATATTATCTGTTGTATTGTAGACTATTTTATGCATGCTTATGATAGAACCACTC